GATGATATTTTGTCTTTCATATTTTGGACATATTACCACGAGAGACCAGTTCCTGGGAGAAGGACATTATGCTTGGTAAAGTGGATGGTCAGAGGGAAAGAGGAAGACACTCAGGGAGATGGGCTGACACTGTGGCAGCAGCAATGCGTTCATTGTGCGGATAGTGCAGGACCAGGCAGTGTTTTGTTCTGTTGTGCAGAACTGACTCAATGGTACCTAACAAAACATATGCTCCTTAAGGAGTAGAGTAGTGGGTCATGAGTTGGGTTGCTACCTACAGATCAGCATTTCCAAGCTACCAGCCACTCTATGGGAGAAAGATGAGACTTTCTACTACCATAAAGATTTACAGCCTCTGAAACCCTATACAGGTCTCTATGAGTCGGAACCTACTAGACAGCACACAACTACCACTGCCACCATACTGCTTCCTTCAGTTTAGAGGAAGGATTCAGGTCCATGAAAATGGGACTTTTCAAACAGCATACATATAAGGACAGAGTTAGGAAATCTGCATCCTTTAACTGTGCAAGATAAGCATTGGACTGTTAATTACAAAGTCAGCAGTTGAGCCCACCAGCTGCTGGATAGGAGAAAGATGAGGCATTCTGCTTCCGCAAAGATTAAAGCTTTAATTGTACCCATTTGACCTAGTTTGGATGGCTTAATGATAAGAACTGACTAGAGAAACATAAAGAAGTTTGATATAGGAAGCAAGTGTAAATTGCTACAATTTGATGAACTTGACCAATACTTATAGATATAGTAGCTCAAAATAGCAACCAAGAGGAAAGGAGTCTTCACATCAAGTGTCAATCCTATCCCCTCAGTACACAGGGTTGATAGGGATGGGCAACTTAGACATTGGCTACCTAAAATGGTGGAGGGCATGGCTATAAAGGAATGAAGTGTCTGGCTTACAAGTTTTCAAGAGGGACTTTAGTTTCAGAATATGCGGTGGGCTGGGGGTAGGGGAGAGGTAGAATCCCCACTGAATAGTTTCCATCTTGTCTAGATGGGTGTGGTGAAAGGAGATGGGGATACAATTCTTTTGATTCAATGAGTAATTGTTACTATGACTAATTGTGATTCTCACAACTATAAAGGTAGAAGTTGTATAACGTAAAGGGGGGAGTATTTATTCTTACATTCCAGGAACAGAGGAACACCAAGAGAGAACCACCAAGAGAGAAGAGCAAGAGTGGAATGTGGGACCCTAACCAGAGAAGCAGTGACACCAGGGATAGAGGCAGAGTTGATGACATGGAAAGACAGAGCAATTGAGGACTCTTGACTCATGGAAAGAGAAAGGCTGTGTGCTGGTGGGCAGGCAGCTGGCTTGCAAACTGTTCCCTTTGGTTGTTTAAACAGTTATATATTCCTGAATGTTTTTGTGTACATAAAAAAAAAAAAAAAGAATAGAGGCAAATACTACTAACCATTGTTGCATGGAGGGGATTGTAATCATAGCAATGAAACAAAATATGATTAACTGAGTGCAAAACTGATGTTCTCCCATATAATCTATCACTCAATTCACAATAGAAGCTTAAAAAAAAAAAAAGATTAAAGCCTAGGAAACCCTACAGAGGGCCCCTGCAAGTCAAAAAGCTTGTTGTTGTTGTTGTTGTTAAGTGATGTTGCATCAATTCCGACTGATAGCAACCCTATATAGGGTTTCCAAGGAGCAGCTGGTGAGCTTGAACCACCAACCTTGCAGTTCAAATGACTTTGCAGTCTGACCCATTAGCCCACAGTGCCACACCAGGACTCTAGAAATGCCCTAAATGAAACTTAGTAACAATTGTGTGACTGAAGGAGCCTTGGTGGCACAGTGGTTAGTTAATAACTTCGTTACTAACTGAAGGAGCAGTGGTCCAAACCCATGCTACAAGAAAAAGATGTAGAGATCTATTTCTGTAAATATTACAGCCTTAAAAACCCTATGGGGCATTTCTAATCTATCTTCTAGGGTCTTTAGGAGACAGAATGAATTCAAAAGCAGAAAGTTTGTTTTTTGATGACCTAAGCATTGAAGGGAAGGAGCTCTGGTAGCATAGTGGTTACAAAACGGGCTGCTAACCTCAAGGTCAGCAGTTTGAAACTACCAGCAGTTCCATGGGAGGAAGATGAGGTGTTCTGCTCCCATAAAGATCTATAGCCCGGAAACCCTGTGCATGATGACTATGAGTCAGAACCGACTCCACAGTACTTAACAACAACAACAAGTATTAAAGGGACTCCATGGCACTTAACAACAAGAAGTACTGAGCTGCTAATAGAAAAGTCAGTAGTTCGAATCCACCAGCTGCTTACAAGAAGACATCTTTCTTCTACAGAGCATCTGGTGGATTTGAACTGCTCACTTTGTGGTTAGCAGCCCAACATGGAATGTACTACTCTACTAGGGCTCCCTCTATAAAAATTACAGCTTTGGAAACCCTATCGAGCAATTCTACTATATGGTCACTATGTGTCGTCATCAACTTAATTGCAGTGCATCTGGGTTTTTTGTGTGTGTTTAAACTTGAGCTACATGACAACCTGGCAGTAGTTGCTAATCTCTAAACTGCAAATCAGGGTCCTGGTGTGGTGTTGTAGGAAAAACAGAGCTGATAACCTCAAGGTCAGTGGTTCAAATCCACCAGCTTGTTCTTCAGAAACCCTATCAGGCTCGCCGTGAGTTACAACGGACTCCACTTCATGGCACATAAAAACAAAATAAGTCAAATTACTAATCATAAAAGCCCTGGTGGCGTTTGGCTTGTAACAGAAATGTCAGCGGTTCGAACCCACTAGCCACTATGCGGTAGAAAAACGTGGCAGCCTGCTTGGAAACTATCTGGGGCAGTTCTAGTATGTCCTGTAGGAATCCTGGTGTGGCGCTGCGGGTTAATGCGCTGGGCTGCTCCTTGGAAATCCTATATAGGGTCGCTATGAGTCGGAACAGACTCAACGGAATTTAACAATAACATACTATTCTATAGGATTGCTATGAGTCAGAATTAACTTGACAGCCACGGGTTTGGTTTGAGTTTTAGTGTTTAAACTGCTAATCGCAACACATTCCTTTCAGATTGTTGTGTTATGAAGAGAAAAAAAGTAACTTTAAAGCGCTATACGTAGCAAGTAAGTGGTCAATTAATGCTTGACATGGCCACAGACAAGCATAATACACAATGTGAGCACTTCCTCACACAGAGAATCAGAAAGATATTTCTGTAATTCTCTATCCAGTTTTCTGTAGCACACATTAGGCCTTCCTCAGAAATGACTAAATAGAGTAAGTACTCCTGGCAAGGGGTGCCCTCCCCGCCGCCGGCACCTCAACAAAAACACTTTAAGCACATGCTGCTGCTATTGGCCTTGGGTTACTGGACAGTAGTACCTTTCTGAACCTACCTGGTACAATCACATCTTACCTGGCTGGCCTGAGCCAAAGGGCTCATTTAACCACCTACAAACAAAAATCTTAACAGCTTCTAAAATTCTTAACCGTCACAGGTGAGTGAGACGGTTGCTTAGTTTTAGAAGGAGCACCCGTAGGTCCAAAAGAGCCCGCCTCCTTCCACGGGAAAAACCTATCAGCGCTCCTCCAGCTATGAGCGGTCGCTTTCTAGGAGCCAATGAATTCTGCTGGCTGGAAGGAACCTGCCCATCCGTTGTGTCGTCATTAGGTCTCTTAAAAACTAGAACAAGGGCGGGCGCTTCCTAGTAGCTAGGTTGGAGGCGGGTGTTTACGTTGGAAAGTGACCGCGGCCCGACCTTAAAGGGAAGGAAGCAGAGGAGGGCCTCAGCCCTTTAAAGCGAGGCGCGGTGGAACCTGCCCCTTTAAGGGCGGGGCGTCCCGACGGCTGAATCTGAGACCCAGATTACCCGGAGTTTCCGTCGCAGGTTGAGAGTAAAGAAGCTCCTTGGCTGGGTCCGGGTGCTTGGCGGCGGTGGCTTCATCCCCGCTTGTCCTCCCCGGGCCCGGAGAGACCCCTACCCCAGTCATGCTGAGCAGAGTATGGAAGCAGCTGACTACGAGGTGCTATCCGTACGAGAGCAACTATTTCACGAACGAGTCCGCGAGTGTATTGTGAGTGGGGGCCCCGGGTAGGAAGGGTTAGGACCGCGGTGGAGAGAAACACGGTGTTTGGGGAGAGTAAGAAGTTCGGGTTGAAGTGCGACCACCTGGACTCAGAGGGCCATCAGACCTCTTGGACCCAGGGCGAATGACTAGGTTCCCAGCAGAGCTGAAGTGTCGGTCGGTGCCTCAGCTGGGGAGTCCTAGATCGCATCAACTGGGTCCCTGCGCGGCAGACAAAGCCCGTCGGTTTCCGTTCCTCTCTGCGCGCCCCTCCCCCTCCCACTATCCCCACCTCTTGGTGTTCGTGGGCGCGGGTCTTCGAGTATTTGAACCCGGTTATCGGAAACCCTGTACAGCGTCGCTATGGGTCGGAACCGACTCGACGGCACTTAACAACAACAACAACAAATCTGCACTTGATAGTCTGGCGAATCCGCAGGAGTCTGAGGGTCTGGTAGAAATGGATTTAGTTGGGGGCAGGTTTTACATTAAACTGAAATTTAGTTAAGAGCAAACTTAACTGGTGTGTGATAAATGGGAGACACGGTCACACTCATCTGGATTCCAGGAAAGACTTAGGAGTTGTAGGGGTGGCAGTGGGAGGAGCTGGGACTTGGTCAGTCTCCCACTTTGAAAGAAAGGACTCTTCTTGGGGGTGGATTCTAATATGTAGATATGGGGAACAACTCAGGTCTCCCCTCCCTTACTGCTGTTCGCTAGAAACCCTTGTGAAGCTGGTTTCCCTGCTTGCCAGCCAAGGATTTTCCCCTGTGAGTGGTTCCCATCCCCTGCTAGTTCTCTAAAGGGTCTTCTGTTTCTTATTCCCTCACTGTGACCTAAAGTAGAAGCTGAACCTACCACACAGCAATGGACTCTTCACTCTGAACCCTGAACATTCAGCTGAGCTTAGGGACTCACATCTTCCTGCTTTGAATTCTCATCTCCTTTCTCCTCTGTTCCCTTTTCAGAGTTTTCTAGGGTAGGCCACCCACAGCTCCATCTCCCTCCCTCCCCCAAAAATATTAAATAGAAAAAAAGAAAAAGAACAGGTTTGAACAGTAGAAGTGTTAGTGAAGTGGACCACTGATGGGGTGAGACGCCTTTTTTTTCTCAGACTGGGGTCTAGTCTGCCCTGGGCAGCCTCAGATTGGAAGAGTGGATAAAGTGAGTCCCCAGTACGTTGCTAGATCTGCCCTTGTCTGTGAGGACTTGAAAGTAAGGAATGTATCAGGCCCTGTATGGGACTTCAGTTGAGGCCTATATTCAGGAAGACTTCCTTGTGTGTTCTTGGAAGATGGTCCCACATGGTAGGGTTGGCAGTGTTGTGCAGGCACGCCTAGGCCTTGAGACATTGTAGGGCCCAGGGCCCACATTCCTAGGGAAAGGGAGGGATGAGGCCTTGGACAGAGAAACTGCCTCCTGGGTGTCTCCTCCATCCTTTAGTCCTGTTAATGGAAGACATCAGTGCTGTTCCAAGGGCAACCTGGAGGTCTCTGGTGCCTTCCCCATCTGGCTCCTATCCGTTGCTCTAGAGAACAGCCACGCTTCCTTTGGAAATGTTGGAACTGCGTGGAACTCCAGCCTGACCTTTTGAGCCCTCCCACCTTCCTGGCTATTACGCAAGACCAGGGCAGAACACTGGGCTGTAAAACTCTGATAGCTATAATCCAAGTGACTTCTTCTACTCTGCTTTCCTGTTGTCAAAAGCTACACCTTTGTCCCAGACCTATGACTCTCCTGGCTTCTTTCTTTGCTGTATAGATAGCTACATTCAGATTCCCTCTTGGAAAGACCCATGAGACTGATCCTACCTTCTTGGCTGATCTCAGACACAATAGAATGTCTTCTTGAGATTCTGGCTATGATTGTGGAACCAAGCAGACCAGTGGGCAATAGAAGCTTCCTTGGGGTAGGATAGGGATGAAGCATATTCCAATTAGACTGGCCAAGTTCTGCCTTAACTCTATTGGAGGTCCAGTCATTTAGGGATGGGACAGTTCCTGAGAGGCTTGACCCTGGAATTGAAGCCATCTGAGGTAGGGTCTGGGCCTGACTGCCTTTAAGAAGACTGATGTCAACTCTAGAAACTTTGTAGGTGTTGGCCTCCAATGAAAGCTTCCTTTTAGGGGCAGAGGCTTAAATGAAGTTCTGTCTTGATCCAGAGAAGACCTGATCTTTCAGAGTCCCCAAATAAATATAGAGTAGAAGTTCTGACTTGGTCTAGGAACATGAAGATTCAATTCCTGCTGTTCTTCTTCTGGAGTGTGGGTCAAGGTGGTGGTAGGGGGAGGTGGGAGAAGTGTCAGGACAATGTAGACATTTCCTTCCTTCCTTCAAATCTGCTGCTCTTTCTAGTGATGTGCTCAGACTAAATTCCCTATGGTTCTCTGACCTGTTTCAAGAATATGTGCATGTGGATCTTTTTCTCTGGGTAAAGTGATTTTCTCCCAGAAAAACCCTTGTAGGGCTGGGCATGATGTAGTTTCCCCAGGTGCATGGACAGCCCTAGTTTTGTCCTTCTTGGAGTCCTAACTAGAAGTACTGGGAACAAAGATGGAACGCCTGGAGCCTTGTTTGGGCCAGTGACCCCATGGAAAAGCAGTGCTGCCCTTAGGACTATGGATTGTGCTGGGAATTAGTCTTCTCATCCCAGTCCACACTCTACCACAGATCTCAACTCTTCTGTTTGCGACACTCTACATCCTCTGCCACATCGCCCTGACTCACTTCAAGAAGCCTACTGAGTTCACAACAGGTACTTGTAACTTCCCTGCCTTCTGCTTGCCTTCCACCATCATTCTGGTTACCATGGGCCAGCCTCAGGAGAATGAGCCTGTGTGGCATTGGGAAAGGAGAGATGGCTGCGCTGGGCTGGGCTGGGCTGGAGCCTTTGCTTCTTCAGCCTCCCTTTCCCCACAGGCAGGAAAGTCTAGGTGGAAGTGTCGGTATGTGACTAATAAAGTCACTGAAGCAAGTTATGTAACTTTTCTGATTCTCAGCTTCAACCTCTACAAAAGGAATATAACATAGTCTCTCCTGCCCATCCATTGGTGTGGACCAAATGATCTGGTTAATGTAAAAGCCCTTATGAACCTGAAGTGGGCAACTGCAGGGTGACTGCCATCATGCCTATAAGTTCTATGTCATCTGTCATCTCTTCTCCTACTACTTTCAGGACCAGAGACCTCCCTGACTATTGTGGCCCCAGGCCCTAGTGATGATGACTTTTCTCTTTATAGAGAGTCTAAGTGTGCTCACTTTGGAGCTTTCCTTTTGTAAGCATTGTAGAGTTGTGGGGGGGAGGGGGCGCAAGCCCAAGCCTGTCCAGATCATCTTGTCCTGGCCCCAGTACCAGATGTCCTGTCTTGGCACCAGCCTTTCCTCCTCTTAGGATGGCTTCTTGAACCTCCATGCAAGAAGGCAGCTACCCCTCAGTGTAACTTCCCTGAGGACTTTGTGAATTTCCCTTCCCTTCTTCCCGCTCCCATCATTTCTCTTCCCTGCACCCAGCTACTCATATAACCAACCTCACAGACCAATTGATTCTTGTATTTTGAGCATATAAAGAGGAACCTGCAACAGGAGAGATTAAGTGGAAGGGAGAGAATTTCTGGGGCCAGGCTCTCTTCAGCTGAAACCAATGATCTTTAATCTGCCACCTTGGCCAGAGAAGAGGTTGTGGGGCCCACAGTATAACAAAGCCTCTTGTCCAACCTTGCCTCTGTGAACCCAGGTCCTTCTTTCCGGGGTGGTGAGGGAGCAGGGGTGCACACAGCAGCACAAATAACTCTCTGAACTGCCCACTGATGTCTCCTTCTTTCTTGTGCCTCTGTCCCCTTTATAGTGGATGATGAAGATGCTACAGTCAACAAGATTGTGTAAGTGTCACCGCCTCAGCATGTGGGGATCACTGGCCTGAGGAACTAGGGTCTAGGGAGGCCTCTCCAGCTGAGGGGAGGGAAGGGAAAGGATGCCACAGAAGCAGAAGCTTCCGCTGTATGTCTTGCTTCTTCCGGCTTTACTCCACCCTTGGGATGCTTGGAAAAGCTGCTGTTCCTGTCTCCCTGGTTTAGCTGGGAGCTTCATAGGCAGGAAATGTCAGCTGGGGTCTGAGTCACCAGAAATGGCTCCAACTTGGCTTCACCTCTCAGCAGCCAGTGGGGAGTGAGTGGAGTGGGAATGCAGACTGATGGGGTGCAGTGGATGGAGAAGGTGGAAACCGCCCCAATGGAGGAGCATGCTTGGTTATGAGAGGAAGGCTTTCCCTCTCAACTGCCATTGTTGACCAGCACATACAGAGATTAGAAACACATACAGATTAGAAGAAAACCCCTTCCTTCCCCTCTGTGGACCAATGGGATCAAAGCATACTTTCTTGTCAGCTGATGCAACCCAAGGCAAAGACCTTGGCCAAGAAGCTAAGTTTCAGCTTCCTCTCACCTCTCAGTCTAGTACTTTCCTGTAATCATGGCCATATAGGATGGCCTGGTCTGATTCAACTGAAGGAGGCAAGCTCAGAAATCCATGTCCCTAAGCAGGGAAGATAGCCAAGTCACTCAGATTTGGCATCATGCCTGGCACACCCTACAGGCATGTACAGTAGGACTATATTTCTGGGGACAACCTAGGCGAATAACTTGGCAGGTGCCCAAGTTCCCTGAATGTCAGAGGTTTTACCCATCCTATGTGCCAAGGCTTCACTAGAGGTAAAGGGCAGGGTTGGGGTGGGGGCAGTGGGCATAGCCCCCAACCAGACAGCTCCTTCCTAGGTCTGTTACTGCAGTAGCACACAGGTATCCTTGGGGATGACTTGAGTTGCATGGCACAGGGTACAGAGGGTGTGAGCTAAGCCAGAGCACTCACTGTTCCCTTCTCTGCCCAGGCTCGAGTTGTGCACCTTTACCCTGGCAGTGGCCCTGGGTGCTGTCCTGCTCCTGCCCTTCTCCATCCTTAGCAACGAGGTACTACTATCTCTGCCTCGGAACTACTACATCCAGTGGCTCAATGGCTCCCTCATCCATGGTGCGTGGCTCCTGGTTGCAGCTTGGGGTGGGGAGAGGGAGCAGATTGGATTAGGCAGACCTGGGCAGCCTGGGCCTATCTAGTCATATATGACCCTGGCCCCTGTTATCTCCCCCACCACATCGTCAGTTGCCTGGGGTTGGGCCCTATCTGCTCTGCTTACCATACCTCTCTGTATGCTCTAGGCCTCTGGAACCTTGTTTTTCTCTTCTCCAACCTGTCCCTCATCTTCCTCATGCCATTTGCATACTTCTTCACAGAGTCTGAGGGCTTTGCTGGCTCCAGAAAGGTGAGTAGAAGCTATCTTAGTCACAGTTCAGGCAGGAAACAAATTCCACTCAAATAGTTCAACTGAAGAGATTTCTTCTTTTTTGTCTCTCATCTTTTTTTTAACTGAAGAAATCTTTAGTAAAGACACTATACATAGTGTCTTTATTTAATAAATAAATACAAGTCTTATAAAACTGAGTTAAGGGAACAAGTTTGAGGCACTATGATAATCACCCCTAGACCTGAAGACACAAATAGTTTCTGAAACCCACTGATAGTTAAAGCTGGGGAGACAGAGTCACCCAATGGAGAAGCTTCTCAGAGGGATTCAGTCACTGCCAAAACCCTGTTGTCAAAGGGGGAGAAAATACAGGAACAATAGTCCTTTCTGTTCTCACCTTCCATTCCTGTTGAGGCTTCCCATTGGCCAAACTGAATTTGAGGGCAAAGAACTTGGGTGATGCAAACTTCAGAGGTCAGCCTCCCAGGGAAGACAAGGATGGATAATGAGTCTAGGGAGGGGGATATCAAGTGAAGAGTACGTGGAATTACCCGGGGGGGCGGACAGAGGGATCTCTCCACCCCCCCTCATGTTTTGTCTTCTCCTGTAGGGTGTACTGGGCCGGGTCTATGAGACGGTGGTGATGTTGGTGCTCCTCACTCTGCTGGTGCTGGGCATGGTGTGGGTGGCATCAGCCATTGTGGACAATAAGGCCAGCAGGGAGTCACTCTATGGTGAGAGGCTCAGATTCCTCCCTGCCTCCCAGGATAATTGACTGTATTTCCTTGAAGGTCAAAAAGGTTGGCGTTCCTTAGACTGAAGTTTAAGCTGATAGAATTTGAGCCAAATCCAACCTGCAGAAAAGTTTCCCTGGGCTTATGCAATGTTTAAATACCATCAAGCAGGTTCTGACTCATAGTAACCCTGTATAGGGTTTCTGAGGACTGGCTAGTGAGCTTGAACCACCAACCTTCCTTGCAGATCAAATTGACCTTATAGTCCAGTGTTTGTCCTACAGTGCCACACCAGGAATATATATATATATATGAATCAGTTGGTAAATTTTAAATTTGAGACATTTCATGTTATCAAATTTCTGGTTTTGCTTGACAAGGAAGAGGATCTGGCCACACTAGCCTCTGGTGACTGGAGCCAAATAGGGTATAGTATCTCCAGTTTGCTGTCGTCCCCACCATTCCATCTTCTACTAACACTAGGTCATCTTTCCTGATTGACAGTACTTGCCAATCCCTATAAGTTTTGAATTGTGTGGTAGGCCTCAACTCTGAGACCTATCAGCCCCTAGTAAGCAGGAGGAGAGAGACAAGCTGGCTTGCCTCTTCTTTCTTCACCTGCAGACTTATGGGAGTACTATCTCCCCTACCTCTACTCCTGCATCTCCTTCCTTGGAGTCCTGCTGCTCCTGGGTGAGTGTTCAGGGACCAGTGTGGAAGGCAAGGGAACCAGAGGGTTGGGGAAGGGAAGTGGTGGAGACAAGGGTCTGGTGGGTGACTGGCTCCTGTCTCCACAGTGTGTACTCCACTCGGTCTCGCCCGCATGTTCTCAGTTACTGGGCAGCTGCTGGTCAAGCCCCGGGTACGTAGTGCTCCTCACCCATTGATCCTGCCGGGCAAGTATCCTGCGAAGCTAGAGCCAAACCATGAAGCAGGTTGTGTATTATGCTTTGGGAGCCAGACTTTCCCAATCAGGCACTGGGGCCTATGTTCGCCAAAAACCCTTGCGCACGTGTAAGCCCATGTGTGGCCTCTACTAAAAAGGTTACATTTTAAACATTAAAGGAATTCCAAGTGTGACTATGGAGGAGATAATTCTGCAGGCTCCAGAGCAGGACCACTGCTCACCATCTTCCACCTTTGTGTGAGTTAGAGAGGGGTGTCCTTTCCTTAAGGTACTTTATTTCTATTGATTGGAAAAGTAGAATAATGATGTACAAATCTATGATATCTATTTTGTGAACTCTGCCTCCTAGGGTTGTGTAGTACACAGCTTGCAGAGGGCCAGAGCCTTTGTTGGCTTCTGTATCCTTCACCCACATCATCTGAAGGTTGTCACCAGACACAAGGCAATTGAGAAGGATTGGATAAAGAAGCTGGCCACAGGGTGGTAGATGAGGGCTAAGGGAAAGACTGGGACTATGGAACCCTGGGATGAACCAGGTTCTCCTGGGGCTCTTAGGATGAGGAAGCCTCTGACAGTTTCACCCTTGTCCCTGTCCCAAGCTTTTGGAAGACCTGGAGGAGCAGTTGTACTGCTCAGCATTTGAAGAGGCAGCTCTCACCCGCAGGATCTGCAGTGAGTAGTAGTTCTCCTTAGCTGGGGTTGAGAAGCTGAAAGACTGAAGGAAGAGGGGATAACATCGTGTTCTTTTCTCCCAGACCCCACCTCCTGCTGGCTGCCTTTGGACATGGAGCTGTTGCATAGACAGGTCCTGGCTCTGCAGACACAGAGGGTCTTGCTGGGTATGTAGGTTGGTAGGGTTTCTCCAAGGAGGACAGCCCCTCTGTCCAGCTACCCTTGCTAACAGGCTGCCTCATCTCCCTGCACAGAGAAGCGCCAGAAAGCTTCAGCCTGGCAGCGGAACCTGGGTTATCCCTTGGCCATGCTGTGTTTGCTGGTGCTGACGGTGGGTACACCAGCCTTGGTGTGTGTGTGTGGGGGGATAATCCCTTGAACTTTGAACCTACTCAGGGAGGAGGGAGGAGATGCAGAGACTTGACTATCATCAATAGTAGTTGCCATTCACTGAGTGTGTTTTGTGTTCTGCCCTGTGTTGAGTATAAATGTCCTCGTTTTGCAGATGACACAGGTTAGACCCACAGATGCACTGGTTTGCCTTGAGGTGAAAATGAGATTGAAATGCAGCCCATCCCCGCTTTCCATGTCCTAGACTCCCATATAGGTCTTGTAAGTCTGAAAGAAGAGGTTCCGTTTTCTCTTGATTCCCATGGACTGTCTGTCTGCAATCCTTTCACCTGGAGAGGCGCATCTTATAATACCCTCCAATATGATCTATTGCTAGCAACAGACAATATTGAGGAGGTGTACCACAAGGCTAAATGGAAGCAGAGCTAGTCTTGGAAACCGAATATTTAGCCAGAGCCCCTGTTTTTCACATTTGACTGGGTAGTACCTCTATGGGCTGGTATTCAGTGACCTTGACTCACACAGGGCCTGTCTGTGCTCATTGTGGCCATCCACATCCTGGAGCTGCTCATCGATGAGGCTGCCATGCCCCGGGGCATGCAGGTACAGGCGGCCCTCCCACTATGACATTTCTCCTGGGTTTGGGCTAATGGATACATGTTTTGGGGAGGGCTTAAAAAGGCTGGGACAAGGGGACATAAACTGAAACCAGATAGAAGACTGGGTACTAGGTGGTGCTGATGGTGGAAAACCCTACAATGACATGGCTCCATCTTTCAGGATCCCTCTCTGGGCCAGGTCTCCTTCTCCAAGCTGGGCTCCTTCGGTGCTGTCATTCAGGTCATACTCATCTTGTATCCTTCTGGAAACCTATCATAGCCTCTGTTCTCCAAACCTGTCTCCTTTGGGACTCTCAGCAGAACTGTGGTGGGATTGGTGGGGAAGGAGGCAAGCCTTTACCAACGTTGGATTCTGAAAGAAAGACTTGATTTTTAAAGAAGGGCTGGGGGAGTGAGAGCTGTTCCTTTTGAGATGAGGTATAATTCCTTGGGAGCTGGCCAGTTCTTCCCTAACTCAATGGCAGTTATCTGATGGTGTCCTCAGTCGTGGGCTTCTACAGCTCTCCACTCTTCCGGGGCCTTCGGCCCAGATGGCGTGACACGGCCATGACGCAGGTAGCTGTGAGGGAATAGGGAATGGTGGGCACTATGTGCTGCCAGTTCTGCTACCCTCCCCTCACCTTCCCCTTTCCCTACTCCCACCCAGATCATTGGAAACTGTGTCTGCCTCCTGGTCCTAAGCTCAGCACTTCCTGTTTTCTCTCGAACCCTGGGTAAGTAGCAAAGGAATTGGTTTCTTTGAGAGCCTACTGGTACCAGGCAGGTACTTTATGTACTTGTTGTCTCTTCAATTCCCACAACAAACCCATGAGGAGGTATTATCCTCATTATACAGATGGGGAACTGAGGCTCTGTAAGTGCCTATGCTGAGCTTCGAAGTAGTGTTGATTCAAAGCCCTTACTTTTTCCATTTGCTATATCCCATTACCTCCCCTGTTTATTTCCATGATTTTTCGGTGAGAAAGAAGCACCACTCTTCTCCAGATCTTCAAACGTTGTCCTTTTAAAGATGAGAAACAGGAGCTAATATTGATTGATCCAGAGTTATACAGCTGGTTTGAGGCAAAGTTGGGCTAGAACCGGTGTTTTTGTCACAGACTGGAACATTAAATACTATGATCAGCCCTGCTCCCACCTTCTTTGGAGATGTCATCTGGAATTGCCTGGTAAAGTCCAAAAGTATAACCAGTTCACCCCAAGGTAGTATGGGAGCTACACAAGTAACAACCCCTCCTTGTCAAACCATCATTCACATGGGGGAACTTCAGAAAGTTCATGGAAAAATGGAATTAAAAGATCATGGATTTGTTGTTTTTTTAACTTTGAAGATCTGAATTTTTTTGAAGCCCCCCTTGTGTATTAGAAATGATTTAGTATTTAAATCCAGTTCTTTTTAGTTAAGTTTATATTCTTTCCACTTGTCCATTTATGTTTATGCCATGAGGTTTTAGGAGGAAACTAGGCTTGTGGGTTTACCAGTTAGTCCCTTTAGGTTGGGTGCAGGTAGGAATATTTTTAAGCAGTGATAAACACCCCACAAAGGGCCCCAGTTGTACAATGGTGAAGCACTACTAACTAAAAAATCAGTAGTTCAAACCTATCGACAACTCTGTAGGCAAAAATACCTGGTTTCTATAAAGATTTACAACCTAGAAGATCCCCATGGGCCAGTTCTACTGTGAGTCAGAATTGACTCAAAGGCAGACAGCAGTAAGGGTCCCAGAAGATTCCCTGCTGGAAAGATTGCCCATTTTAACCATCCCAGAGGCAATCTGCTTTCATAAAGATTACAGCATTGAGGAGGTACCACATGGCTAAATGGAAGCAGAGTTGGAATTGACTCAACAGTACCTAACAACATTATTATTAAGAGCTCGGTAAATGTTAGACCTCCCACCTGGCACGATATAATGCTATATGTATGTTGCTTCATTGGTTCATCACAGCTCCATTATGTTTTCCATCGATGAGAAAACTGAGACACAGAGAGTTTAAGGAACTTGCTCCAGACCACTCAGATAGTTAGGGGTGGAGTTGTGATAGGAACCACAGCAGCTTGTTTAGAGTCTGAGCTCTTAGCCACCACATCATTGCTGTCTTCTAAAAAACTTGGTAACCAGCGTGTAGGTTCCTGACCCAGGGAGCTCCTCAGGACACCTGGAGTCAGAGGGGGCCCCGTGGGAGAGAAGATCCCAGACTCTGGAAGGGAAGTTGGAGCAAGCCTAGCTGCTGACACTTTCTGCAACAGCTCAGGCTTTGGGAGGTGGATAACTGATGCCCAGAAGCAGCCAACCTTTCTATTGCAGTGTTGAGATGTGGCCACAGGGAGGCAGCAGAAAACTGGGCTCTGAGTAGGGGAGGGGCCTGGAGCCCACCTCTCATCCAGGCTTTTGTGCTCCAGGGCTTACTCGCTTTGACCTGCTGGGTGACTTTGGACGCTTCAACTGGCTGGGCAGTTTCTACATCGTATTCCTCTACAATACAGCCTTCGCAGGCCTTACCACGCTCTGTCTGGTGAAGACCTTCACCGCAGCTGTGCGGGCAGAGTTGATTCAGGCCTTTGGTGAGAGTGGGTGGAGGATGCGGGTTTGTGAAGTGGTTATCAGGTGGGGCCCTTCTGGAACAGGGAAGATTGTTGCAGTAAGGGAAATGGCATGTAATGAACCTCATCCATCTATTTGTGACTTGGTTTCTTGTCCCTGAGAGACAGGACCTGCGCCCTACTTTTAACTACGTCCCTCCTCTCCAGGGCTGGACAGACTGCCGCTGCCTGTCTCCGGTTTCCCCCGGGCATCTAGGAAGACTCAGCACCAGTGACCTACAGCTGGGGGTGGGAGGGAGCAAACTGGACACTGCCATCTACTACCCAGGCTTGGAGGGGAGCCTCCATGGGTGGGTGGACCTCAGGACCTGGAATCTGAGCGAGTGGGTGACAGAGGGGAGTTGAGCCATCTGCACTGTTGCAAATCTGAGCCAGAGTTTGGGACCAAGCCCCCTGCTTTTTAAACTTAATGTGGACCTCAGTATGTGGTGGGGTTGGGTGATTACCTCTGGCTCCTGGTCCCAAATCTGTTTACACATCAATCTGCCTCAATGCTGTTCCGGGCTTGGCCCATAGTCATGTTTACATGATTTGATGTGCAATAGGGAGGGGTAGAACAGGGGATGGTCTTGGCTGGGGGCAGACTTGGGAGGCAGGTTGTCTCCTTTGCCTTGGCCCAGCAGAGTCTAAGCACTGAGCTCTTCTGGAGGGGCTTTGGACAACCAGAGAGGCCGCGAACATAGGGAGGAAGAGGCCGGAACCATCAGCAATAAAGTTGATCCAGGGTTTGCTTTTGTTTTTTTTAAAAGGGCCTGTCTCTGTGTCTATTTGTCTGACCCCATCAACTGAGAGAAACAGGGGTCCTGCCCACCATCTTTTTCTTTCCCCTCCACCTGCAGCCTTAGTGCCCTTTGGGAACCTGCATCTGGTGTTAGGTCATAGAATTGGGTAGTGTGATGCTCCTTGTTTAAGCTGTTGCTAAAAGCTGACTGGTCCCCTGACTCTTATACAGAAACATGGACTGATTCTATAATTTGGGTGGTGGGGCTAGAGGGGCATTTTATGTGCTGTCAAGTTGGTTCCTACCCTTAGCAACTTGGTATAGGGTTTCTGAGGAGCAACTGGTTAGCTTGAACTGCCGACCTTGAAGTTCAGATAGTTATGCCATCTGGTGCATTAACCCACAACGCCACACCAGGACTCCCAGAAGGGCACAGGAGTAGGATAATGGCCCCTTACCCCACGCCCTTGGTCCTAGCTGCCATGCCCTCCCTGACTTGACTTAGAGCACACAGCTTCTTGAGACACCATTTACCTCACAGTCATTGCATGTACAGTTAATATGACAATATTATTACAAATGGCAGGGGGCATGAGGAAGGGGCAGCTTTTTCTAATGCATACAGGGTTGCTGTGAGTGCTAGTCATAGAACTAGATGAAGGGAGAGTGAGTATGGAATTCAGACAAGTGTAGTTTCCAAAATACTTCGCTGAGCACCTTACTGTAGGGCAGACACTGTTCACCATGGAGACACATGAGAAAAAAGCTTGTACTCAAGAATTGCCAGTCTAGAAAAGGTGACATCATTCTAATATGGTGCCACAATGGCAGTTGGTTCTCAAGGACATACAGAGGTGGGCAGTGTCCGGATATCAATGAAATCTATTATCCCTTCTCTAAGAAATGAAAGTTTCTTAGAGGAAGTGATTATTTAATAGATTGGTGGGTGAAGTGTTGTAGGTTTAAACTCTCTGAGGTAAGACCTGAGTGTCTGGATTCAGAGCCCTAGGGAGTCCAGAGTGAGAGAAGGCTAGAGGGGTGACTAGATGGGTAGTGGTCAGTAGCCCGTTAAAGATTTAAGGTTCTAAGTATACACTGAAGTCCTCCAGCAGCTTCAAATTGTCAAGTTATTTGAAAAGTAGACAGCTATTGAGTGTAAGTGTCTGACAAGAGGAAGAGGGGCAACAGAAGTTCAAAGTGCTAAACCAGAACATAGCTACCAAGCTCTCTGATTTTGGAAGCGCCCAAGGGACGCTCCCAGCTGAGGACTATAAAGCAATTAAGGAAAATGGTCCCCTGGTTCTCACTCCTTTCTGTCCTGGTTACTATGGAAATTGGAGATAAGAAAATGGGGCCAATTTGGAGAGGAACACAGCAGAGCAAGCAGGAAAACTTTGGTTGGGTGCCCCAAAGGCTTAGCTGACCTTGGGCAGCAACTAAAACAGAAGGCAGGTAGCCAGAGTATGTATCCATTGGGAGATCAAGGATCCGATTCAGGTATCCTGCAAGGATGGTTTGGTGAAACCTAGGATTAGAGGTGGAATCCTGTTGTGGCGATGTAGGATAGATAAGTACTGAACTGCTACCACAAGATTGGTAGTTCAAACCCACTAGTCCCTGGGAAACCCTGTACGGGGTCGCTATGAGTTGTAACCCACTCGATGGCACTTAAGAGCAACAATAAACCTTGGAGGTAGAAGGATGCTTAGATAGCTAATCATCCAAGTACAGTAAAACTACTGTGATTTCTGAGATTTCCAGAATGGGACATATTTCAGTCGTGAAATGGACCAACAGTGACTGGCTAGAGCCCCCGCCCCAGTGGGAGGGGGCGGGACCGCCCTGGGAGAAGGGCAGGAGGCGGGGATAGGGGCCAGTTGAGGCGGAGCCGGGCGTCCTGGCAGCGTCGGAGCCCAGCAGCAGAGTCGAGCTGGGCTGGCACATACTCACGACCCCCCTTCCCTATGATGGCCAGTCAGTAGCAGGTCCCAGACACTCCAGGGGCATGTAGGCAGAGCTAGTTGCAGCCAGGTGTGCAGAGCCACAAGCGCTCTAGGGCATTAGAAGCAGCTCTGTCTGCTGTGCACTCTGAAACCTGGGGAAATGCCCAACTGACGGGCGAACCTGTGAGGACAAGACCGCTACCCTTTGGCCCTAGTCCGCTGCATCCATGGCGCTGCCCTCTAGTCTGGTTTCCCTGTGTTGCTTGGCACTTCTGGCACTGCCTGCGCAGAGTTGCGGACCTGGCCGGGGCCCAGTGGGCAGGCGCCGATACGTGCGCAAGCAGCTAGTGCCGCTTCTCTACAAGCAGTTTGTGCCTAGTATGCCTGAGCGGACCCTGGGTGCCAGTGGGCCAGCCGAAGGAAGGGTGGCAAGGGGATCAGAGCGCTTCCGGGACCTTGTGCCTAACTACAACCCGGACATCATCTTCAAAGACGAAGAGAACAGTGGCGCTGATCGCCTGATGACGGAGGTAAGGAGAGTCTCCCCACCTGCACCAGGACCTTGCCAGCTTCTGCACTATCCTGTGTCAGCCAGGGAGGGTGAGCTGGGCGTCATTTACACAGATCTTAGTCCCAAAGGCCAACCCACCACTCTACTCTCCTTCTTCCTTACTCCCCCCCCCCCCCCCCAAATACCTGCTGGCTGGACTGAGCAGTCAGGAAGGATTCCCAACAAGGAAAGGCTAGGATGGAGAGCGGGAGGAGGGACTAGTGAGAGTGAAGCTGAGAGAGACAGTAAGGGCGGGGAAAGGAGGATGGCGGCAGGCGAGACGGGAAATGGCTGAGGCGTGGACCGGGGGTCAGCCACCGAGCCAGGCAGGAAGGGCTGGGGTGAGCTGGGGGCCAGGGGGCCAAGAACTGGCTGGGCACCAAACAGAAATTTCTACCCTTAGCCTGGCTCCTGACCTCACTGGAAAATCTCCATGACTAAAGAGATGGAATGGGACTGGGTAGGGGTCAGGTCACCAGATCATCTACCTGAAGAGATGATCAGGAATTGTCTGTGGCTGGGGGAAGTGTCCTGGAATCAGGGCAATGTGATTCTAAGGTCTAAATGTCCTTGATGAGAAAAACAGATGGGTCCACCTGTGAATCAAAATGCTTCTATGACCCATCAAGTTCAGGGCCTTTCCTTGAAATTCAAGTAAATTCAGCTACCATGTATTGAACATCTGCTCTAGATCTGAGCTAAGCCAACCTAAGGTGAGGTGAGCAATATAACTTGGGAGAGAACCACCTCTGGCCAGTGACAAGTATCAGAACTGAAAGGGAACTTAGAGGTCACATTCCTCTACTTCTTCCCACCCTCATTTTACCTCAGAGCTGGGCCCAGGAGGAAAAGTGATTTAATCAAAATCTCACCACTAATTAGTGGCGTGACTGGGACTAAAATGCTGGACTCCTGATTCTAAGTCCTATACACTTTCCATTACACCACCTAATTGTGTATGAGGTGGGAGAGATGGGGGGGAGAGGGAGGGGTACGGATTTCCTCTGATTAATTGCCACAGTTTTCCAGGTTACTTTGTCTGGAAAACCTGTCCAGGGGAAAAAGAATCCCTTCTTGCTCCTACCCTGAAGTCTTCTCCTAGCCAGAAATTAACAAGGAGACACTCAATCTACCTTTTTTGGCTAAGGAACATCCTGGCCTTGTCCGTCCTTCTGGCTGCCACCTGCAGCAGAGATGGGCAGACCAAGGGACAGGCCCAGGGAGACTGGCAGACCTGGGAACCCCCCTTAGTCCAGCTTATCTCCCACACCCTGGCTGCAAAAGGCCTCTATTGAGTTGGCTCTGCACTGGGCTGCTGCCCCCGCAGGTCAAGGCCCTTGGGCCTCCTTAGGGGACCAAACGACAAGATGTTGGAAGGAGTTACCACTTTTCCTGTTCTTTCCTTCCCCTACCCCCAACTCTGGAGGTGTGGAAGACTCAGAAAGTTGGCCAAGGGCAAGGGTCCCTCTAGCAATTAAGAGAAAGCCAAGTCTGAGGAGGTGAGAAGTCGAAGGGGAAAGAAGAAAAGGAAGCTGTCCTCTCTCAGTCTCCTCCCACAGTGTCCTCCGGCTGTGATGCCCGCCAAGGTCTCCGACTCCCAGGCCCAAGCTGCAGAGATAACCATGGTCTCACTCCCCCGGTGCAGGCTTTCAGCCCCTGCCTCCTTTCCTCCTGTCCACTCCCACCCTGCAGGTCCCATCCTCCCACCCCCTCTACACACACACACACACACACAGAGATTAGTGTAAGGGCAGCTTCCGTTACTCTCAGGTGCTGCTCCCACGTCTTTCTGGTCTGCATCTGGGACCTAGATGAAAAGCTGGAGACGCTCAGGGTTGGCAGAGCCCTCTCTGGTACTAGAAGGGCTGGCCGCAGGGGGGGAGGGGACATAGCGGGCCAGGGCAGGGATGAGGGGCGCGGCTTTCTGCCCTTTCCTCTCTCTGCGCTGGGGCGGCTGAAAAGCGCCTTTGTGGCCGGAGCTGCTGAGTCCGCTTCTCCCGACGCGTCCCCGGCCTCGACTCGGGATTCTCGCTTGGTTAAGTCATCCCTGAGAATGGTCATTGTACTTCGTGCAGCCCCCGCCACCCAACCATTTTTCCAGTAGCTTTGATTCCTCATGACTCTGCTAGGGCACCTCTGTGGGGGGTACCCAGACCATGAAGGGGTTAATGCTAGGGGCCGAAAGGAGGAGGAAGGAAGGAAGGAAGGAAGCAATGCCCGGTGCCAGGGAAGGCAACGAAACAAAAGATGAATCAGACGGAGGGAGGGTGGCTGGGGCCTGGGGCGGGGGCCAGGGCCAGACTGAAACAGGGTCTCCTCTCGGGGAGTCAGACTGTTCAACATCTCCCTGACTTCTCCCCGACCCCCCTCCCCCCCCCCGCACGCCGCCCTCTTACCTCTGACCCAGGTTGAGCCTATCTCCCAGACTGGTGGAAGTTAGTACTAAAAGTGGGGAAAGAGCTGTTTGAGCTGTCCCGTCTCAACCTAGAGGTTACTCCCAGTTCTCAAACGACCCTCTGCTCTGGAAAGGGAGAATACAATGGCAACGACATCTATTCAGATTCTCATTTTCCAGGACAGTAGAAAACTAGGAGGAAGTGGAATGGGGCTGGGAAAACAAAGAAGAGTCCAGTCACCTCCTGCATCCACTGGGAGAGGGGAAGACTGACCCTCTTATTCCTCACCAGCGTTGTAAGGAACGGGTGAACGCGCTGGCCATTGCTGTGATGAACATGTGGCCAGGAGTGCGCCTGCGGGTGACTGAGGGCTGGGATGAAGACGGCCACCACGCACAGGACTCACTGCACTACGAAGGCCGTGCCTTGGACATCACTACGTCCGACCGAGACCGCAATAAGTACGGGTTGTTGGCGCGCCTGGCAGTGGAAGCCGGCTTCGACTGGGTCTACTATGAGTCGCGAAACCACGTCCACGTGTCGGTCAAAGCCGGTACAGTAGGCGGAGGGTGGTGAGGTCCGCCTGAAGTGGGGCTCCCTCTGGGAAACTGAGGCTGCATAGTCCCATTGTGACCGTAGGGGAGGCCAAGCGGGCGTTTGTATTGTAAAACACCCTCTGTTTGGGACCCAATCAGTGAGAAATTGCAAGTTGTCCCAGTACTGAGGTCTGTGCTGATCTTGACCCACATCTTTGAGAATCTAATCTGTACCAATGTTCTGGAACCAGTGATTTTGATCCAACCCTTCTTTCTTGTTTCCTGTAGATAACTCACTGGCCGTCCGGGCAGGCGGCTGTTTTCCGGGAAATGCCACTGTGCGCCTCCGGAGCGGCGAGCGGAAGGGGTTGCGGGAGCTGCATCGCGGTGACTGGGTACTGGCCGCAGATGCGGCAGGTCGGGTAGTGCCCACGCCAGTGTTGCTGTTCCTGGACCGAGACTTGCAGCGCCGGGCCTCCTTCGTGGCTGTGGAGACTGAGCGACCCCCACGCAAGCTGTTGCTCACGCCCTGGCATCTAGTGTTTGCTGCTCGAGGGCCGGCACCTGCGCCAGGTGACTTTGCACCGGTGTTTGCACGCCGGCTGCGGGCGGGGGACTCGGTGCTGGCGCCTGGTGGGGATGCACTTCAGCCCGCGCGCGTGGCCCGGGTAGCGCGGGAGGAAGCTGTGGGCGTGTTCGCGCCACTCACGGCGCACGGGACGCTGCTGGTCAACGACGTCCTGGCTTCGTGCTACGCAGTCCTGGAGAGTCACCAGTGGGCACACCGCGCCTTTGCACCTTTGCGCCTGCTCCACGCACTGGGGGCGCTTCTCCCTGGCGGAGCTGTACAGCCGACTGGCATGCATTGGTACTCTCGGCTTCTCTATCGCTTGGCTGAGGAACTGCTAGGCTGAGCGCTCCAATCATAGAAACTTCGAGGCGCTAGCCAAGACTGGTGCATGGACTGAAATCTGGGATGATGCTGATCGGATGGAAGGAAGGAATAGAAAGAAGGGTAGTAGGGCAGTATGGAAACTGTCTGATTTAGCGGCAACCTCGAGCTGAGAGGAGGTGACCCCAGGTCCTAGGATAATGAGGTTGATGGTGGGCATTCCCTGAGCAGGATTATTTAGCCTTTTCTTCCATAGTACCTCAGTCCCACCCCATAAATTTATTTTAATTTTCTATTTATGAATTGTAATATAATGAACCACTTGCCCAGCCTGGGTAGGTGAGGGGCTGGAGCACAGCGATAACAGTCAGAGCCAGCCAATTTGACATCTGCATTTTCCTACAGATGGACTAATAAAGGGAAGGCTTCGGGGAGCTTATTGGAGAACACCTCCATTCCTGATTTGGGTAGGGAGGGAAAGAAGGGGACCAACCCCCAGTGAACACTTACTTCCAGATTTCTTCTACCCTCTCCACTCCTTCAGCAGGTCTTCTGGCTCCTCCCAACGGATCAGCAGGATCAGCAACAGAGCTGAAGAATCATACTATTCTTTAGGCTATGGGTCCCTCCTCCCACCAAAAGAGGATCAGCATTTCACCAGTGATGTTGCTTACAAACAGTTAGACAAGTCAGGGTTGTCCAGGGAGCATGAAGGCACGTACATGGCCATTCTCTGTTAGTAGGGGTGCCAGCAAGAGCTTAGGCCACTGTGGGTACTGATATGCATTGTTAGGGTGCAGTTCTGACAACTCCCTCAATCAGCCTCATCCCATTCTTCTCTGGTAGTAGAGTCTGGATGGGGTCCATGTTCTTTCCTGGGATGTCACTGAGCCAATTGGTGACCCATGGGATTTACTGGCTAATTCATAACTGACAGTCCCCACACACCTGGACAGAAGGTTGAAACCTTTCTGTCTTGAAAAGCTGCAAACAAAGAGTAAGCTCAGACCCTGTATATGTTGGAAATAGGCCACCCAAGCGTGGGTATATCTGTATTACAACCAGAACCCCCTTTCTGTTCAATGGCCTTGGTTGTGCTTTCTACTTTCCTCCATCTTGTATGCCCTCTCCAATACTTACCCAGTTATTGCCAGCCCTGCTTCCCTGGCCTGGGTGCTTCTGGAACCTTTGGGTTCCAACACTTTGGACACCTGGAATCCAGGGAAGTGGATGCCACTGAGCTATAAGGATGGAAGCTTTGGAAGGGGAGTGTCTAGTACCTGGAAGAGGGATCCCTAGTTGATAGGTCCAAAAGACCACCCTTCTCTATAGTATAGTGCACTCCCAGAGGGTTGGGTCCCTGCTAATACACCGCCCTCTGGTGGCCTTCAGGAGAATTTTGGCTTACCGGGTTCCTTTCAAGACCAATGCTGCTAGGATGAGTGGACTGGACCTGCACAAAGAAGCCCTCCTCTCTGCAGAAGCAAGAGATGGGAGGTGGAGCTGGTTAAACTTCCCGGACTAAGGTACGGGTGTCAGTAGCTAGCAGAGAGCCCATTAGCCTCTCTAAGAAAGACTTCCCAAACTATGGCAGTTTTGCATCTGTGGTTTAGCTCTCTGGCTCCTGGAAATTGAAGTTATAGTTGCAACGGGTAGAAATCCAGACTTCCTTACCATCCAACTTGCCCCTTATCTTCCTCACCCTTGTGACCAGTGTATGAAACATACTTTAGAATTCCAGGTAGTTCTTAATAAAGGCAAAACTTGGAAGTGGACCCTTCCACCCATCGTTTCAACCCATTCCAAGTGCCTATTATTCTCCTTCCTGGTCTCAGAAACATACCCCAAAGCTGTAAATGTTTACTACTGTTCTAAACTTCCGTTTGTCAACCTTTATCAGATCCTGAAGTCTTCCTGTCATATCACCCCAGGTGATGACTAATCTGATAAACTAATGACTCTTCCTATAATAAGAGGCTCCTTGCTTTTACTTTCCTTCACAGATAATGTATGTATCTTAACAGTGGTTTGTCAGAATTAAAGCCTTTAACCATAATAGAAGGAGCTCTGGTAGCTTAGAGGATTACGAGCTGGGCTGCTAACCGCAAGGTCAATAGTTGAAATCTACCAGTCACTCTGCAGGAGGAAGATGAAGCTTTCTGCCCCTGTAAAGATTTACAGCCTTGGAAACCCTATACAGAGTTCCTGAGAATTAGAACCAACTCCATGGCACTTAACAACATCCATAATGGTGGAGTCCTGATGTAGCACACTATAAATTAAACACTGGACTGCTAATCACAAGGTTGGCCATTCAAATCCACTCACTGCTCCTCAGTGAGTCCAGACCAGCTTGACAGCACTTCAGAACAGCAACCATCAGAAAGGTGATTATTTCTAGTATCTTAGTAGGTTGGGGACAAGGAGAACTCTGGTTTCTCTGAAATGACATCTTCTAGGGTGCTTCTCAGGACTCCTGGTGTGGCGCTGTGTGCTAATGCGTCAGACTGCAAAGTCATTTGAACTGCAGGGTCAGTGGTTCAAGCTCACCATTGGCTCTTTGGAAACCCTATACAGGGTTGCTATGGGTTAGAATTTACTTGATGGCACTTAACAACAACAACTGGCTGCTGCCTAGCCTGCTTCCATCTTTCTTCATCCTTATCCCCTTGAGGCCTTAGAGAAAAATCCATGACCTTCCCTCAAGCAACAAAGGATACCATCTCCATGAAGCAGGCTGATATATTCACATGGCTAGGTAGCCCTCTTCTCATCCACAAAATATCAGCAATGAGGATTAGGGAAAGAGCATGACTTCTGAGTCAGACACTGTTGTTACATGCTAGTCAATCAATTCCAACAAATCCCTACCCCATGTGACAGAGTAGAACTGACCCACAGTTTTTACTGTGAATTGAGTAAAAGTTTCCAGGGCAGATCATCAGTTGAAAGTTTTACATTCAACAAATCATACACTTTGTTTCTTTACAATGATTATAATACCCTCCATGTACCATCAGTTAACAGTATTTCTATCTATTCATTATAGCTTTTTTTTTTTTTTAAACACCACTAAAGAGCACATTCTGCAAGTTGGCCTCCTGGCCACCAGATCTCAATCCCTCTCTTTCCATGAATCTAGAGTCCTCAGCTACTCCCTTTCTCCATGTCCCCATCTTTGCCTCCATCTCTGGTGCTTCTTTGGATAGGGTCCCGCATTCCGCTTGTGCTTGTCTCCCTTGATAGTCCTATGGTCCTCTGTTTCTGGACTGTAAGATTAACTATGCCCCCATTTTTGTTACAAAACTTCTACCATTACAATTGTGACAGTCGCAATTAGTCATAACAATTATTCATTATTGAATCATAAGAATCTTACCCCTATCTCTTTTTACCAGACCCATGTAGACAAGATGAAAACTATACCAGGGGGACTCTATCTTCCCCTACAACACTCTTAAACTAAACTCTCTCTTGAAACCTTGTAAGCCAGTCACTTCGAGCCTTTGTTGCCCCCTCATTTTAGGTAGCCAATGTCAAAGTTTCCCATCCCTATCTACCCTGTGTACAGAGGGGATAGCATTGATACTTAATGTGAAGACTCCTTCACTCTCAGTAGATATTTTGAGCTACTACCTCCATGAGTAGCATAGTGTTACAAATCGGGTTGCGAACCTCAAGGTCAGCAGTTCGAAACTCCAGCTGTTCCGCAGGAGAAAGATGAGGTTTTCTGATTTCATAAAGTTGTATAGCCTCGGAAACCCTGTGCAGGGTCACTATGAGTCGGAACCAACTCCACAGTACTTAACAACAACCTCCATGAATATAGGTCAAGTTCATTCAATTGTAGGAATTTACCCCCATTTTCTTTATCAAAATTGTTTTCTTTTTTATCTTCCTCTAGTCGAGTTCTGATTATCAAGCTATCAAGGCGAGGTTTTTGAGTGTAATTTTAATGGAAGCAGATGTCCAGGTGTTTCTACACAAGAGCCTCTGGGTGTGTTCAAACTGCCAACCAATCAGCAGCTGAGTGCTTAACCATTAGTACCACCAAGGCTCCTTGGAAGTCAGACAGACCTGGGGATAGTAATACTTCCCTGACCGGACTATTGACAAGATCAGAGTATGTACCCCACGTGGAATAGACACTAAATATTTACTATAGTGTGTCCATTTCTCAGTGTTTTTACTGCACCTCTGCCGTCTGTTTGTACCTCTCTTCAACATTCCACTAAAAGCATTTATCAATAGTTCCCAAATTTGGGGGGGTTGTCACTCTTTGTTTCAGATAATTCTATGAGACAGACAGATTTTAAATACTTTTAGTACTAAAGTAGAATTAAAAATAATTTTACTTTGAGAATTTTGTGATAACCTTGGTGACATCTCTCAGCATACTGGGAAACTAGAGTTGAGAACCACTGCTCTCAAACCTGCCAGTCACAGCATGGGAGAAAGATGCTTCCATAAAGATTTATAGCCTTGGAAATCGTATGGGGCACTTCTACTCAGTCACATAGGGTTACTATACGTTAGAATCGATTTGACAGCAATAGTGAGGCTCTGAGATTCAGGTGACCCAAATTTTCATCACCCAGAACCTAGCTTTTTTTTTTCCCCTTCTTAAAGCAGGATTTACTGAACATCCACAGCATAGTTCTGTATTATCCTTGTTGTTCCAACTCATAGAGACCCTGTATAGGATTTCCAAGGAATGGCTGGTAAATTTGAACCACCAACTTTGTGGTTCAAACTAACCTTGCAGTGCATTATTCCATAGCACCACATAAGCCCTGAAAAACTTCCCTGGAGGAGTAGACATAAAAAAAAAAAAAAAAAGGTTAACTAACAAAGCAACATTGTTACTGAGTAGAACAAGCAGTAAATGCCATATTAGTACAGAGAAGGCCTTGTGGAGAATAGGATGTTGAAGGATGTGGAGGTGGAGGAGACAGGAAAAAGCATTCCAGGCAGAAGGAGCATCATGAGCAAGAACTTGGAATCTGGGATGAAGATGTGCAG